GATAATGTCAAATTTTATAAACCTAGAATGATAATGTCAAATGTTACAAACTTAAACGATAATGTCAAATCTTACAAACTACTATGATAATGTACAAAATGTTCTATACATAAGCTGCCAACAGATCAGTAATCCCTCTTTGACGCCCAATGCCACTGCGCAAGGGTCCGCTCCAAATCATCAATAGCAGCTCTACCTGATGCAGTCGTCATGTTGTCCTTCTCTTGAGAGAGTCTTTGTCCCACTCGCATCATCTTTCCCATCCACTACACACAACAAAAAAAACATAAAATTCAATAACGATATATAATACTAAAAAAAAACACAACAATAAATGCATCCACGGCAGTGGGCAGTGGAACATCATGATCATCGCCGTCGTCGCCATGGTCGAGGTCTCTGATCAACCTCGGGTGCGAATACTGGATGTACCATTTCATGTAGTGCTGGTCACACATCGCAGTCACCCCAGTTGGCGGCCTCTGCAGCTCCGCAGTCCTTAGGCTGGAAACTATTAAAAACTGCTCCCACGTGGCAATCATGCTTCCTGGTCATTGGACGACGTACTCCTTCGACGACGCAGATCGGATCGCCTTACTAGGCCATGCTGGTGGAGGAGGGACAACTTGGACAAATCCAAGCTGGCAAAGACAACGCTGGGGCATGTACGCCTATACGATCTCACGATACGGAATGAGTCTCGTGTAGAGGGTCTTGGGTACTATTACTAGGGTTCACTAGGGTTCTGGCGGAAAGGCATCCAGTTCACCTGCACATTTTTTTCAAATTAGTAAGATTCATATAATAAATGCATCACAATATAAAATTAGAAATAATTTATACACTTTACCTTTAAGGAGGACATCTTGTTAAGCAATAACTGTATCGATCGGAGGCGGTCAACGAACTTCTTCTTGAACCGCGGACTTCATGCCTTGGCACGTGGCATCCCATCCCCAATAGGAACTGGGTCGCGGTGTGGTCGAAATGCAGTTAAATACTCGTATATCCAGGTCTGTAATAAAGTCAAACATCCAGTGATACCTGTCGCGTCAGCCTAACACGAAAATCCTAGTTGGCGATACAGATACGCCAACGTAGCCGACCCCCAAGAAAACTAGCCTACTCTATCGGACTCACACGCGTCAACTATGTCGCGTGGCCTGAGCTTGTTTCCGCTCTTATCCGGAAACAAGGTACACCCGAGGAGAAGAAAAACATATGCAGCCAGTTGTGCGTCATGCGTCCTACGTACAGTGGGGTGCAAACAACGCTGCAAGACGGATGCGATCTTCACACCGCCGTGATCCCAAACACCAAGCACCCCGGTGTACAGCGCAGCCCTGTCCACCGCCAACAGCTCCGCTAGCAAATCTATCTGATCCGCATCAGTCACAACAGAAAGTCGTTTTCCCTCTGCACGAATCCCAATGATGGTCTCGACGTCATGCAACATGATCGTCATCTCACCGAACGGAAGGTAAAAAGAGTTCGTATCCGGCTGCCATCGCTCAACAAAAGTCGTGATCAACGTTGAGTCAATCTTATCGTGCATGGTGGCAGGAAGGTGACTCACTCTAGTGCCATGTAATTGGCCAAACATCTCGCTCTCCTCCAGTCAAGCCTCAGCCCATCTACACAAAAAGTTACAAGTCTTTTCCCGGGTTTGGCATTTCAAAATGCCCGTATCCAAAGCCCTCTCCTGGTCCTCCTAGATACGGGTAGCTATGTGTCCTAGAAAGCTAGGAATCACACTCCCGTCCACAGGTCCCCCATCCACCTCACCCCTCACCACCCAAGAATCATTAACGGCCCTCGACCGTTTTCTACTTACCGCAGACACAGTGGAAGTAGAGGATGTGCCAGATCTACTAACAAATCTACCATCTCTACCCTTACACACATCTACCCTATGCGTCTCATACATATCATCAAGCCTCTGAATGAATGGACCGTAATCATCATATGGTCCACTCTAATCGTCCACATCCTCATCTGCATCCTCCTCCTCCTCACCATCATCATCTTCATCCTCCTCAAGATGGTGAACCTGTTCTCTACGAGCCGAGGCCGAAATACCACGGAATATAACGTGTCTGGACCCCAAGCTCTCCATTGAGTAGTTTCTACTTCTAATAACTTTCATACTCTTCCCCGCACCAAATCGAAAATGCGATACCTAACTCCATTAAAAAAAATTAAAATATATATAAACATAAAAAAAATTAAAAAAAATAACTAACAAAAAAAAATTAAATATACAAAAAAAAAATACTAACAAATTGACATAAAAAATAACAGAACACTGAAAAAAAATATAAAAAAAAATACACACAAAAAGAAAAAAAATAACCAAAACATACAAAATATATATAAATATAAAAAAATTAAAAAAAAACAATAAATAACCAAAAATATTATCAAATAAACAAAAAAAAATACTAACACATTGACAAAAAAAAAATAACAAAACACTGAAAAAAATAAATACAAAAAAATACAAAATAAAAAGAAAAATTTTTATCAAAACATACAAAATTAATATAAACATAAAAAAATTACAAAAAACAACAAATAAAATACAACAGAATTAGGAAAAAAAAATATAAAAACATACAAATAATTGAAAAGGAAATATAAACATAAAAAAATACAACAAATTTGAAAAAAAAATATAAAAATATAAAAAAATATAAAAAAAAATTGTAAGAAAAAATATAAACATAAACAAAAAAACAAAAATTATGAAGTTTTTTTTTAATAGAAAACTGAAAAAAAATATAAAAAAAAAACAAAAAATATATATAAAAAAGGGAGGTGGCGTCCCAGCCAGACGCCAACCCCACGGCGGCGGCGCCCTCGCAAGACGCCACCACCGTGACCTTGGCGTCCCGACCAGCCGCCGCTTCTGTGGGGTTGGCGTCACCACCATGGCCACGACATCCTGGCCAGGTGCCCCATTATTCGAGGTTTTTTTTTTATTTTTTTTAGAAAAATTACCTTGCCACCATGTGACCGTCTTCCCTCCGCCGCCGCCAATTCCTTGCCTTTCCGTCTCGACATTGTCGTAGTTTGAAATTTTTCTTTAGAGAGAAGTGAGAGTAGATAACAGAGAGAAGATGAGTTTTTTTTTAAAAAAAAAACAAATAAGGGCAAAAGTGTCAATCCACCTACTATTTGTGGGCTTTATGTAGAGATTTGCGGGCAATGTTTAGTAGTTCATGTAAAGGAACCAAGCCGATCAATAAACTACTCGAGTTCGAGCTCGGTTGAAGCTCGTTCATGTTTGTTTATTTGATAAATGAGCCAAGCTTAAACAAATTTTAAAACTCGTTTAATAAATGAGTTTGAACATGAACATAAATATGCTCGTTCAGATAAGTTCATGAACAACTTGTTTATTTATGTTTGCAAACTAATCGTTTATATATATATTAATGAATGATTGATTTATTCACAATTGTTAATTTAATTCTTAGGTTTATAGTTAAGATTTAATTATTGTGCTAATTTTGAGATTTTCAAATGTCAAAAGCACAAAGCTCATTTATTACTAAGCTCGTTCATAAAACGCTCATTTATCAACTCGTATAATAAACGAGCCGTTCGCGAACATATAGTGTACTAAATGAGCCGAGATTGAATAGATATATTAGCTCGCTTGAAAGCTCGGGATCGTGCTCGAACTCGCCTAAGTTAAACAAGATAGTATTCGGCTCGCTCATTTACACCCTTAAATATTTTAATTTTGGAAATTTCTTACAAAAAATAAATAAAAATAGAAAAATTGTTATTTACAAATCAAACTTCTAAAAGTTTTATTTTACTTAAAAAAAATAGAAATTGGATTTTGCCACCACATATTGGATCCAGTCCATGAAGCCATTCATGGGGCCTACCATTTGACGTATTTTACGTTTTTTTAATTACACTATTTGTTTTGGTGATAAGAATTAAGAAAAGGGGTATAAGGCAGGGGATACACAGAATGCGTCTATGTGACTACAAACAATGAAAAAAAAAAAAAGTGGGGTAATAAGTTATGATTAAATGTTTCTTTTAAAAAAATTATTATCAAATGTATAAATTGTATACAAGGGTAATGGGGTATTTGGTGTGTGAACATATGATAGAAGTTTATGAAAGTATATCATAGAGGGATATGGCGCATTAATACTTCATATGCAACTTTTTAAAAAGAAAAATAAGGCAACTAAATAATAAAAAATAAAAAAAAACCAGGAAACTATGTGAGTTTAAAAAGAGGATAATCCTTCTACTGCCATGAATCAGATGAGACTTTTTTTCATGTTAAAAATATTGATAAACCCTTTTGCTAAATGTCGTAAATCACAACGAGATATATATATATATATGAAAAATGTATATTCAATAATGATCACACCTCTATAACCCTGACCAAGTAATCCCTGTAATACTGACCGAGTAACACATATAACACTGATCGAAGTGAATAATTCATGTAAAACAAACTGAGTAATCCCATAATGAGTTAACTATAATGTGTGATCAGCTGCATATAAAAGTTAGTGAAAATTTTATTGTACTATTTTTTAAGTCGAATCACCTTCGATTCAATTTTATTAGCGCCGGTTTTGTTTGAATTATTGGTCATCAATTATATCCTCGGGCTGTTGGGCCCAATCACCATTTTGTTGGGTTGTTTCGTCTAGTCATCCTAATATCCTACGTGATACACTGTTATCCTTGAAAGGATAATGACCAAAACCAGTAGTTGCAATTTGAAGGAATAAGAACACCTCCGTATCCGTATAAAAGTCTTAAGAATCATTTCTCGACCATAAAACAACGTGACAATTTGGAATTTCCCCTTATAAAAAATGTCACATCTTTTGTGACAGACTGGATTACAATACCTCTTTGACGAGATTACATACAAATATACGATTTTTACAATTTAAAGGAGAGAGAAAAGTTGGTCTGAAAACACCACACACACAAAAAAAAAAAAAAGGAACATTATTTTTATTTTTCATATTCAAATCATTATTCATGGTTACTTCTCTTTCAGTTGTTGCATATTCTGTTCTCAAAGATGCAGCTGGGGTTGCTGGTAATTTCCCATTTCTCTCTTTTTTTATAATAGTTTTTTTTCTTGAATTATTGGAAAAAATGGGGATTTTATATTGCAATTTTTTATAGTTGAATGTAATTGATGATTAGTTCAGATATTGTTTTCTCTCTTTTTGTGTTAGTTTTGTGATTTGACTTTTTTTCTGATTAAATTTCATCTTTGTTTGAGGTCAATCATTGAAATTTGTTGACTTTATTGTTGGAATATATGAAGAAGAGTTTTTAATTTCTGGGAATTTATGATTTGAGCTAAACATTTTAATGCTGATGTTAAATTGAGTTATTTGTATGTAATTGGTTTGAAGATTGCATGATTGAGTAATTATTTCATATAATCTTTGCTTTACTTGCTGTGATCAGTCATCCTAGAAGTTGTAGAAAAGGATAACGTTAACAATATAAAGCCTTATACTGTATATGAATAATTATCTCTGGTACTCCCTCCGGCTCTAAAAGCTCTTCCTGATATGACAGTATAGTCGCAGATATAGAAGTCAAAGCAGGAAGAACTTTTTGAAACAATGGGAGTAATGTAGCTGTGAATAACTGAATACATATGGAAGTTAACAATTGTTCATTTTGCTGATGTTGGTCTATTGGAAGCACTCCATGGGGTCCTGTTCATTATTGCTGCGAGTTTTGAATATTTCGGTTTATTTGAAAACTAAGTACACCAATTTGAGATGGGAAGAGTAGTTTTCAGTTTTTTGTTGTCAAATCTGAAATTGAAAAATTGAAAACTATCAGTGATAATGATTAATGACCAAGGTAGTTGTTATCATAGATTTCTTTGTGGCAATTTATGATGTCATGAGTCATGACTTTTGACTTACAAACTTTTATCTGCATTGCATTACAGGGAACATCTTTGCTTTTGGGCTGTTTGTGTCACCAATGTGAGTTTTACCACTCGAATTCGTGTGAATATTGCAAATTTCATTGATCTATGTTCAAGTTTTTCTGAGTTTTTCGCACTAAATATCCTCTAACTTGTGCAATAAACAGACCGACATTTAGGAGGATTATCAGAAATGGGTCAACAGAAGAATTCTCAGGATTGCCGTATATATACACCCTCCTGAACTGTATGATATGTGCCTGGTATGGGTCACCCTTCGTATCAATTGATAATATATTGATTACAACAGTCAATTCGACTGGGGCTATCTTCCAATTAGTCTACATATCCCTCTTCATAGCATATGCTGAGCGAGTGAGAAAGGTATTAAATCATTTCTGATTTACCTCTGGCTATTGATTTGGAGTATCATTGAATGGTTTATTAGTTGATTGCTTTCCTTTTATGTTATATAACAGATGAAGATGCTTGGTTTGCTATCTGCCGTGGTTGTCTCATATGCCATTTTGGTCACCTTGAGCTTAAGAGTCTTTGACTTCAATTCAAGGCAGATTTTTGTTGGGTTCTTGAGCTGCGCATCTCTAATTTCAATGTTTGCTTCACCACTCTTTATAATCGTACGTTTGTCCAAGTTTACAGCGCTCTTGTTTGATTTCTTGCAATATATTGAATCCTCCAAGGCTAATTGCCTAATTGTTTGGCAATTAACCAAGGGCGACATATCAATGGCGCCCTCAGCTGACTACAGTTTGCTCAATACGGGTGCTGAAGACAAGTCGTCCATAATAGTTGCTCAACTAATTAAGCAAATACAGACTATGCCTTTTCATTTCTGACAGACAGTATTGACTTTGCAGAGACTGGTTATAAGGACAAAAAGTGTCGAATACATGCCTTTCTACCTTTCACTCTCTTCTTTCTTGATGAGCATGTCTTTCTTTACATACGGGATGCTTAACTGGGATGCATTTATCTATGTAAGCAGTCTTATATTTTCATTTATCAAGTATATAGCTTTATTTTTTTTTTCCTTATACTGAATACAGTTTTTTTTTGCTTTCCTGATTGAACTCCAGGTTCCAAATGGGATAGGAGCCCTTCTTGCAATCATACAACTGGGATTGTATGCCTATTATAGTAACAAAGCTAATGAAGAACATGAACCTTTGATTGTTTCCTACTCATGATATTCTTTGCTGAAATTCACAAGGTAAAGCTTCATCGAAGCTTCTCATTTTGACCTTTGTAAATATAATTCAACATCATGGAATGAACGAATTCACGTGCATCTATTTGCACCCTTGCAGGAGAACTGATAACATGTTTGTTCAGAAGTGCAACGCTGCTGTTCTTCCACATTGGAAGAATCCTATAAGATCTGTGTTCTTACTTCTTCAGCTATTTCTTCCGGTCACATTGGCTGGTGCCTTTTTCTTGGGAATTCGTCATTTTGCATCAAGCAATTCTTTGTCACAGGTGATGCCCACCTGATATTTAATCCAATTGATTCATCCATTCATGAATGGAATATTTCCTTCTTCCTGCTTGAGGAATATTTCCACTCTTTGCTTTTGTATTTAATTCTTCAGCAAATTTTGTAACCCTTTTTGGGTGCAAATGATAAAAAAGTATGATTGATTTGGTTATTCCCTGCAAAAATTACCACAAAGGAAATCTTGAAGGGTTGAACTCTTTTGCTTGCAAGTTAAAAATTCAGAATCATGGTCTTTGTCAAACCTGTAGTTGGAAACAGATAACCTCTAGTTGGAATCCATAAAAGATGGAGTGATAACAGGTTGTGTTCTCTAATTTTTAATAATTGAAGTTTAATAATTGCCAACACACAACTTTGATGAACCTATTACTCTATTAGTATCTTATTAGCTATATACTTTAAATTAGTAAGATAACTTTGATGATCAATATCTTGTAAGTATCAAAATTTTAATTTTATGTATAATGTTATTGGTCAACCTGTCAATTACAGGTCCTGGGCAAGTTCGAGTCAGGTCATGTGGGTCATACTTGGATTATTGGTTCTTATCAGGTCAATATAACCTCTATGTTGGGTTCGGGTTTGGTTCAAGTCAAGTTTGGTTTGGGTTATGTTAGACTGTTGATTCTTTTAATTTATCATTTCGTGTGTAGTTCAGTTTCAGTTTGACTTGGGCTCAATTTTGGGTATGGGTAATTGGGAATGATTATGTTAGGTTTGGAGCAACTTATGGTAAATGAATTCAAGCCTCGGTCCAGTCTGGCTTTACAATTAACTGGTCGATAAACTGTTAACAATGGTGGGTTGCAAGCCCACACACCAGCTGATTAGCAAAGGAGAAAGAAAATGTGGAGTTGCTAGCGTTTGAGGTGATTTTCTGGTTTGCATTAACGAAGATTTTACTGGAGAGTATGGACTATGGAGACCATTGATGAATTGCAATACAGAAGATAGACGAAATTTAAACATTTCTTGCAAGGAAATTCGATATTTCAACTCAATGTAACACTTCGTTTTATGCAATGTTAGGTCGTTCTCTTCACTTTAATCAAGTAATATCTAGGGAAAAAAAAAATCAGTTTAAAAGTAAAATAAATTTCAATTGAATAATAATAAATTAAGTTTAACAAAATTTAGTTGACTTGTAAAATTAAGCTTTTTTTTTTTTTTTAATTAAAAATCATCAACTACAATGAACAAATATATTGAGAATCATTCAAAATAATTTAAGTTCAATAAGATAATTTAAGCTCAATGAAAAATAATTTCGATTTAGTATATAGAATTTCAGTGCATCAAAATTGAAAGTCTTACTGGCTAATACAAGAGGGGGGGTGAATTGTATTTGAGGTGAAGTCTCAAAACTTTTGCGGAATTTAACTAAATGAAACAATGACAAGAGAAGATATAGGCTTTTCCAAATTTCCACTATGTAATCAAACTCTTTACAAGTGAAAATTCAAACCCGTTAACAAGTTCCACAAATTAGGAACTTGTTTCCAACTCTTACAGAAGACTTCAACAGCGAAGCTTCCTTAACCTCACCTTACAAAAACTCACAATTCCAAACCCCAAAGTACTTGAATACAATCTGTAATTACAAATACCTATTACACTCAAGAATATATGAAGGTTAAGAACTCTCTTTATGTTATAAGATTACTATTGGAATTTTAATGCTCAAGAGTTGTAAGTTGCTGAGATAGTTTGCATGAGTATTTATAGAGAAGACTTAGCCATTAACCTCCCACTATAATCACGTACACATGTCAACACCCCACTAACAACTTGTGGAGTAATCGTGACAGATGGTGATCATGAAGGAGGTTTCCTTGCCTTGCTCACTAATCCACTATCTCAACAACTTGCTAAATATTTGCTTTGACAAAGCCGTATAATGAAAGATTCATGCAACAATAAAATTGCTTGTTGACTTTGTCAAAAGTTTGTTTAAAAAGATTTTATTTTAAAAGGATTTTATTTGAAAAAGATAATTTATAAATTAATTGGCAAAAATAAGTTAGGCATCAAAATATCAACAAACACACACAGTCATATCCAAAACAAGAGCCAAGTTCCGATTTAGGAAACGAAAAAGGAACATAGCGAATGTATCAAAAGATATAAGCGTACAAACCAAAGGTCAAAGAAATCAAACAAAACCAAAAGAAAATTGTTCAAAATATTAAATCAGGAAAAGTGCAATCAAGGTTTTAAAAGGCTACATTGGTAGGATCAAGGGAGTCTTCCTCTACTTCCTCGAAAGCTACTTTGTTAATTGTTTCCAAGATCTCCTTGTTGCCCTCAGTGAACTTTCCTTCAGCCTGTGCAAGCTTCTCCTCCACCCCTGCAAAGCCTGTGACATGAGATTCTGCCAGAGCTTGTAGCTGGCCTTTTAGAGAGAGCATTTGCGTGGCCATGTCCTCCAGCTTCTTGCTGACCATTGTAGTCATCATCTCCATATCTGCTTTAACCTGTTGAAAATCATAAACAGACACACGTGTTCCAGAGAAAGCAGCAAAGCCAGTAGGCTGAGATGGAGGAGGAGAAGGTGAATGAGGAGGCTGCCTTGGAGGTGAAATAGGAATAGAGGAGGGTTCAGTAGCAAAAGGAACTTAGGTAGGTTGGAAGGTGGGATCAGATTTGTCTGAGGAGCTGATGGTTTCTACAGTCACAGGGTGTGTAGTAGAAAAAGCAGGCTTGACCACATTCCTCTTACTTCTTCTAAGACCTCCTGTAAACATAGGAATAACAGGTGGTCCTGCTGTGCTCTCAGAGTCTGTGGTATGTTCCCCCTCACTCTGATCAGTTCCCTGCCCCTTGTGTGAGTCAGATTTCTGAGCTTCCCCCTCAAAAACTCCCTTATGTTCCCCCTCAGAATCTCCCTGTACTTCTCCTTGTACTTCTCCCTCAAGGATATTTTCTTTATTTTTATCTCCTTCAGAAATTTTTTCTTCTTCCTTATCTCCCTCAGAATCACTGGAGGTGGCAGCACCCTCACTACCCTGGTCACTGCTCTCTTCATCACTCGCATCACATTCTTCCTCAGTAGCTTTTCCTTTTCCTCTTCTTTTTCTCCTCTCCTTTCCTAGGCACAAAAGAGACTTTCCCATTTTTAAGCCTAAGACTCAGTCTAAGTAATGATTGTTCAGAGAGGATATTGTCAGGTTTTAGGTATGTAGGGGATTCACTTTCAACATCAATACCAAAAGACTTGAACAATACAGTAAGAAAAGAGCCATATGGAATTGTGGTCTTTTGAGCATAAAAATTTAAGTGTTCAATCATTAGAGCAGGGAAATTGATCTGTATTTTGCATGCAAGACAGAATATGAGGGAGGCATCCAAGAGAGATACGGTACTCCGTTTTTGTAAACGGGGTACAATACCCTTCCAGGTGAAGGTAAAAAGCAGCTTATGAAGGGGTGTTAGGGCATGATGGTGTGTAGTTTTCACTTTTGGATTTCCTCCAATAAATTGAAGGATTTTGCATTCATCATTATGGCCAATGTTTACAGATTGTTTGTGCTTTAAATAAGAACAATAGCCTTTAACAGGAACTTGAAACAGATTTCCAAGGTAATTGGCATCAAACGAAATTGGAATATCATTAACTACGTCCGAGCATACACCATTATCACATTTAAAGGTATTCTTGAACTCATAAATAAATTTAGGATAAACAGGATAATGTGAACAATTCTGGAACAGGTGAGTCCATTTTTGATAATCAATTAAAGAAGTAAATTCAGTGAACTTACTCGCCACACACCAATCATAGTTGATGTGATACCCGAGAGTGTAGTTCCATGATGGGAATTTGGTGGTTGCGCGCCGTTTCCTGTCGCCGCCCTTCACTGATGTTGCCTTCCTTTTTGGCTGAACAGGTGGATGCACCACCGCAATTGGTATCGGTTCTGGAGATCCCGTGTTTGAGGAGGGTTTGGATGGTGGTGATCAGGTTTTTGGGGTTTCATGGTGATGAAGGTGTGTTGAAAGGAAGGAGAAGATGAATAGTGTGAATAGGAAGGAGAGAGAGTGAAGCCGGTTATTATGAGAGTTTATGGGGAGTTAATTTGATGTGATTGGTGAGGGTGGAGTGTGAAAGAGGAAGAGTTTAAATGGGAAGGGTGAGAAAAAAGTGACGGTTAATATGGTGAGGTAGTGGGGTAGTTTTTGAGGTAGTAGGATTTAATAGGGTGGATTAATTGCACTTTTCAAATTCAATTAAGATAGAAAAAAAATCGGAAGTTAAGGAGTTGATGTACATGCTCCTTATCTTACGTAACAAATAAAATCTTTTTGTATTTTTGAATTTTGAAAATAAGAAAACAGAATTGAACATAGAAAAATAAGGATGAAAAAAAGATAAGAATAAAAGATAAAAATAATGAAGGAATAACAGATAATAACAAGAAGGAAAACAAATTAAAAAAATAAATAAAGGAATAAAAAAATAAAAAAGATAGATAAGTACAGATTGATCGTAAATTATAATGATAATTTACGTGATCATAATACAGAGTATAAAGGATGATGAAAAGGGAACTTGAAACAACATGGCTCAATATTTTTAACATATTAACAGTATGTACGAGTGACTTTTCAACACTTTCACAAATCTTTCCCCTTGGTAATTTCAGCTGTGTTATGCACACAAGATTGAGCATAGCATTGTTAGTTACATCCGATTTTACCTTAGGGGTTCCAAACAAAAATCACTTGAGCCGTAGCATCCCCAATTCCACACGCATCTTTTCAAACTTGTCTCTGCTTAAAGGCTTAGTTAATATATCAGCAATTTGACATTCAGTAGAAACAAAATCTAGCCTAATTAAGCCCTTTTCAACATTATCTTTCAAAAAGTGATGCCTTACATGTATGTGCTTGACTTTAGAATGTTGAACTGGATCTTTAGAGATGCAAATGGCACTTGTATTATCACAATGAATAGGAATGCAATCTAAAATAATGCCAAAGTCACGCAACTGTTGTTCTATCCACAGCAATTGAGAGCAACATGCAGCAGCAGCCACATATTCTGCTTCGGTAGTGGATAGAGCAACAATGTTTTGTTTCTTGGAACTCCAAGAAACCATGCAAGAGCCTAAGAATTGGACCATACCTGACGTGCTTTTACGATTTACTAAATCTCCTGCATAATCAGCATCAGCATATCCTCTTAGGTCAAACGAATCACTTTTTGGATAAAACAGA